AAACATGACCCTTGATAATAGCTCAGGGACATTTAAAACATACTGTGTGTTATACATTTTATACTAATGTTTCCTCTGTCAGCGCTGAGTCGCTTAACAGGTGACGTACAGGTGATCAGACCGCCGCTACAGTCCGTATAATATAACCCTTCAAAATAAAAGTATCATTTATCCCCACTGACGTGAAATCAGACTGTGACCTCAGAGTCAGAATAGCCCAACATTATATTAGTCTCTGTCTCTCTCATATAACCGTGTCTGCATTCAACATTAGGCTGGACAAAACCCCTTTTAGTTTTCTGCACACACACGCACACACGCACACACAGACACAGATACAGACACACACACACACACACACAGACACACACACACCAGATGTCAGGGAATAAGGGACACTTAAAGAGCTGGTGAGTTACGTACATCCGAATTTCTCTCTCACACACATCAAGTTCAACTCAGAGGCAGCCAACTGGGCAACCGAGCATGACGAGAACAGAGAGAGAGAACGGAGAGATGGGGAGAGAGAGAGAGACAAAGAGAGAGAGAGAGAGAGAGAGAGAGGTCACTCCTCGCCCGTAAATTCTCTGCAGCAGCTTCTGCTCCGAGCTTCCTGTGAACAACACAAACTAACATTTGAAGAACAAAAGTCGACGGGGCTTCATTTCTGCTTTATGTTGCCAAAAGTGTGAAGACACCCTGCTCTGGTCCTACGCTCAGTTTTTTCTACATCTCTACAAGACTCTTTTTAACAACAGACAGTCAGGCACCACCACACTCCATTCACTTTTTAATTAAAAAACACAAAAATATGTTTTTGTTTTTTACTTGGCGCCCCCTACAGTTTTTGAGTGCAATACTTCTCTCTTCAGCCACTTATGTTATTTGGTTTTTATCTATTTGTCCTCCACGTTTTTATGACTGCAATATCTCAAAACCCCCCCCAGCAGGGAATTAATTACAATTTGGCACAAATGGTCCCTCGGAGTGAAGGAAGATCTGTTTTGATTTTGGTGGTCAAAGTTTTTTTTGTCCATAACTCAAGATTTATTTTTCTAATTATTGGCACCATTTTACAAAAATGTTTAACAGGAAAAAAACATGACATGATGACATTTGTTTTTGCCATCTTCATTGAGACATCATGCCGCCAGGGAAAATACATTCTTTACATTTTTTCCATCCACATTTTTGTAAACAATATAACTCAAGAACCAGGTAGTGTTATTATATTTGGCAAGAAAATCCACTGTGACTCAAGGATGAAACCTTTAGATTCCTAGAAGTTAGTGAATTTTGATACATTTATTTATCCGTCAGAGAGAACAACACCATTCTTGATCGATCTCCCTTCTTTCTATGTTCTACTCGTCCTGTTTGTCTCCCTGCCCAGTCAGTCTGTCATTCTGTGGGAAACGGATGGATTGAAACAGTATCTTGACTGGTTGGTTTACGCATCAAGCTAAGATCTGAAATTCTAGTTTTTCCCTTTTTGAATGAAACTGTTGTTTACTTGTATTTCTTTAAAACAACTTTCACTTTAGTCTGATTCTTCCTGGGTTTATTGAATCCCAGAAAAACTGAAGCTCTCTAAAAGATTACACCAGCTTTTAAAACACCAAAAGGTCTGTCAGATTCTATCATTATATTGTATGTTTGGATTTTGGACAACTTGACATCGACATTAAAGTTTCTCTTTGTGTGTTTCTACAACACAAAGTTCTGAGTGTTGAAAGTTTTGAGGCTGGCTCTCTTTTAACCTGGACAGATTTTTGACCTAATTAGAGCTCCTGATTATTCTGCTTTAATCATGAGAAATCATTGTTAAAGTTGAAGTTGTACTGTGTGAAGTTTTCATGCTAATCAACTAAATAAATTAACGCAATCTTTTTTCTGCAGCGTCTTTCCTCCCGTACAGGCTCAGACAGTCGGTGATCGTTAGTTTTGGTAATGAAAAAGCCCTGAAATAATGCTAAACACCTCTTTTAATGTGAGTGTGTACAGAGCCTGGAGCAGAAAGAGTTAACAGAGAAAGTTTAAAACCAGCTTCATGATACATGAGATCTCTAAAACCCTTTTCACACACACGGAAATCTCCTGAAAAACTCCGGAGATTTCTAGGAGGAGCTTATGTGTGAACGCAACAGTTGAGTTTTTTACTCCGATATTGCCCGGAGTTTATCCGGTCAGACCCCTAGTATTTTTTCCGCAGATAATCCGGAGGAGCTGATTTCTGAACGCGGCCGAATATACTCCGGAGATTTTCAATTTCAGCCAATGAAAAGAGAATGACGTTTATATAGAGTGACCCGCTAAAGTGTCTGCCCGCGACCTCTAGGATCTCCGTGCACGTAATTAAACGTCTGCATTATGTTTTCTGTTCGTCAGTATGTTGTTCTCCTCTCTTTTGTGAATGTTGTCATTCCATTGGATTACACATAGCATTGATATAAAGGCAAATATTCTCATTATAACGTTGTGTAGCGGACTCTTATGCTACTTCCGCGTTGTTTATTTACGTCACGTCTTACGTCGGGAAATCCCCCGCGGCCCCCCTCCCCTCTGACAGGGAAAGTCCCCCGCTGTGAGGAGCATATGTGAACGGCTAGGTCGGGAGAATCTCCGGAGCGGTCTATCCTGTAATTATCTAGATATTATCCGGAGTGCATATGCGAAAACGGCTTAACTGAAGCTTCAGGCTTTGAGACAGACTAGGTATGATGAGCTGGCTTTGTGGTGCAGCCCTCAGAATCAGCCTCTCAAAGTACTCACCATGATTGTGTTTTTGTTGTCATCGTAGATTATTATCTCCTAATCACAAAGCATGAAAATCCTGAAAATCTGAAAAGAAAGACAGGATATGAGCGTCTCCATTTTGGGGGGGACTGACTGAAGTGAGATTCTGAAGAAAACTAACTTATATGACTTTCAGTGAGACACGTCAGTAAGATGATCTGATCTCCAGATTTTGAACTTTCTTCCACAAACTCACAGAGCTGAATCAGGGTTCACAATCACAGGTCGGGTTTTTTTTAAAAATCCAGGTCGACTGCCGAGTGTCAAAAAAAGAAGAGTAACTTCCATTTCTCATTCTTTGTTGAGCTGAAGAGTGTTTATGTTTCATTTCCCCGCAGAGCTCTGTCAGAGGTATCACTCCTTCCAGCAAAATGACAACAGATCCTGGAGCACTTTGTTGGGGTTTGGACGCTGAGACTTCAGAGAGTCCCTGGTTTGTGATGAATCACACCTGAGTCTCCCCCCTTCCTCCTGATATCCCCCACAACTCAAACAAACATGTCAGTCTGCGTCTCCCCCGACGACTCCGCTGCCTTCCAGATGCGTCACTTTTTTTTTTAATTCGGTAAACATCACGTCGATTGGATTCGTCCGCCTTTTACCAGAGGATTTCTCCAGCATTAATCAAACTGTCGACCTACCGCTCATCCTCCCACCCACTCTTTGTGACAACATCATCGACCCGATCAACGCTTCCAACCGTTTCCCCGAAAGACGGGAGACTTCCGACATAAAGGATGAACCGACCTGCTGGGAGTGTTTGATTTCTGATGTGTCTCCGTGTTCTGAGTGATGACGGAGGTTAATTCACGTCATAAATAAGCTCAGCTGAAAGCCAGTGTTCTCCTGCTCGTGTCCGAGAACAATATCTGCACATCAGTTAGTGAAGCTCTCAGTCAGCATCCAAACTGTTCACACTTGATCTGCAGTGAAGTCCCTGTAGAGACTAAAGATAAAACAGCATGAATCTGCATATATCAGTCATTCTTTCATCGCAATGGGTCATAACTCTGCACTCTAACTGGGACATGTCTGATTACTTTATCAAATCTAATCAGGCCTCAAATCGTCTCGTGTGCAGCACAGAATAATGAAATAAAACAATAAAACTAAAGTGCTCTCTCCATTTATCCAGTATTTGAACAGGTTTAATGTATTTTTAATGCAACTGTTTTTCCCCCACATTATAACCCATAACATCCAAGGAAGGTACAGCTATAGCCTTGTTCTTAAGGGATTAGTATTACTTGGGACCTCTGGGAATTCTGTAATTGGTGCCGAGCATTCACACTGGATGTGCATAACTTCCTGTCATTTCTGATTGGAAAAAATGAGACGCTGAAAGCATTGACAGTAAACAAAGTGCTCTCTTTAAAAAAAAAAAAAAAAAAGTACACAAAAAGTGATGTAGTGAACCTATGGTTAATGTTAAGTGTATACATACTGTTGGAACTATAAAGATTTCTGCTTTGAGCCTGTTGCTGCAGAGCATGTCATCCTTCTAATCACTGTTCAACATCTGGTTTTTCTGGTGGATTTTAGTTTGTTCTTCCTGTTCATAAGCCAGCTGAAGTTGCTGAAAAAGCAGAAATAGCCTTGAGACCTTCTTCAAAAAAGTTACGATGGTTAGTAATTGACCCTGTGTTTTTACTTGATATATAAGAGACATGGTCGATTCAAACTTGATTTAAAACACAGACTTTCCTTACATTTATTACAAATGATCAGAGGTCCCCAGTTAATACTATCCTCCAGGTAATATAAACCTGTCCATCACTTCTTTAAGAAATGAAATTATACTCACCAAAGTTGAGATGTCATTAAGATGATGAGATGTGTTGAAAATAAATCCTTAAATAACTCCAAATCGTTTCCCAGATCATCCATCTATTTTTAATTGGACTATCCCTTCCAGAGAGAGAAGTTAATTTGTGGAAACTTTAACAATGGATTTCTGGATACCTACAGTCTATTTAAACTGAAGTTTGTTGGTGAGATATCACTGCTGCTATTATTTAAATACTTTCTCTGTTGGTGCATTCAAGCAATCAAGTACATTGACAAGATCTGCTGCCAATACAATAAAACAAATCAATACATTAAATTGTGAATCGTTTTCTGTGAAGGGTTGTGAGTACTCCCACATGTTGCCAAAAAAAATTAAATGAAATGAAACAAGAAGTAAACACTGACACTCACAAAAATGTGATATCAAATGGAGTTTTATCTAATGATAAAAAATGTCTGCGTTTCCCTGAACACACCAACATAGTCTCTGAAAAACAGAATATCAGTACATTTATCACCTTTTCTTTGGAGTTATGAACGCGTTAGCTCAGCAAAAATAAATGCATAATTACAACAGTTATTTTCTTTTATATAAATAGCAACCACTCATTTCTGGAGTGCAAAGGAAATTTACAGACAAAAAAAACAAGAAAATGGAACCACAAATCAGGAGTGCTTTAGAACGTTTCAGGAGTCTGCTATGCTATGTAGTGATGTAAACAATATGTTTAAGTTGTGCAAAAATTTAGAAAATGTCAAATAATTCACTTTCAGATCTTAGAAAAACACGTATTGCTGCGCAGAACCTTACCATTCAAATGACTGTTATTAAAAGTGTGTAGAAAATAGCTTCCCAACATATTAATAAATTCTTGTTTTTCTTAATGATGTGAAATCGTCAATTTGTCCCTCCAAAATAAATCTTTGGAGTCTCTTTCTTATATTTTGATATTCTTGTGTGTGATATCAGCCAATCAGGACACTTCATTCTGGGCCACCGCCTTCGTCTCTAGCAGCATTTTGATGATGTCATCACTGTAAGACAGGATGTCTCTCAGCACCTGCACTGTGTGCTGGCCAATCAGAGGAGGGGGCATCGGTCCAGCAGGAATGAAGCTGCTGAAACGGACAGCAGGGCCTAAAGACAAACAAACAAACACACAAACACAAGATACATTGATTTTTTTGACATATATACAAGTCTGTTCGCTGGTTTGTTATATGTTTGCATAATTAAGTTGAAAAGTATAGAGAATTCAGTAATAAATGTTTGTATTCAACCACAAATGAAGGCAGGTAAGTTTAAAAAGAGCGTTAAAATAAAAAAGTGAAATTATCTGTACTTTATACAACTACTGAGGAAATCAGTTTAATTTCCACATTACACCTGAACAAAACAAAAGATTCATCTTGTTCTAAAAAGTATTTTTAAACAAAATAACTGTTTTATGCTTTCTCTTTTGGAAAACTGGTGTTGCATGACATTTTGATAGTGGATGGATGAAATCAGATTAAAAAACAAGTTTGTTAATTATGGTGCTTTCTTTGTTTCTTGCTATATCATTGTTATCCACAGCAGAAATAACCTGTGGGGTACCTCAAGGCTCGATTCTTGGCCCCACCCTCTTCTCCATTTACATGCTTCCACTTAATAACATAATGTGCGAGCATAATCTTACTTTATGCTAATGATACACAGTTATACCTTCCACGAAAACAAAATTATCCACACTGCCATAATTTTCTAAGACACTGTCTTAATATCACAAAACGTTCTTTTACTAAATAAAGACAACTATTTTCATCTTCAGGCGGCAAAATTCCACGAAAGAGATTTCATAAAATTTCAGAGACTTATTCAACTTTGTGTTGTGTAAACTGTTCTTTTACCTAACATGTTATTTTTATGGTTTGCTTGCACTCTTTTTAAATGTAGTCATACCTTTTTTTTTTTTACAAGTTACACAAATAAATGTTTAATAATAATTCATCAGCACAATGTTATTTTATGCTGACGACACACAGTTATATCTTCTACTGTAACACAATGGAGGATTTTTGGTAGGTCTTGACTAGGTTACTTTGCATATCCAATTTCTTACATATAGGTCAAAGTAACCTCAACTAGGGACTTTCACTGGGGCACTGTGGAGCCATTTTGCAATGCTCCAACACAAAAGCAGAATGACAAGTTAATTTAGCCCAATTAGACAAATTTGGAGAGTTAGGGGCATGGTAAAACTCCCAAAAAGCAATTAAAGAAGCAGCATACATTTTACAATAATTACTTTCATTCCAAGAGGGTCCTCGCTCCAAGGGTTTGTGCTACCATTCGAAATACATCTAAGTAAATTTGTCCCTCACTCACTTTTTGTTTTGCTCATCTCCTCTTTTTGTCTTTCTCCTGTCTCTTCCTTCTTTTTCTAACTTCGGAGTCGAGCAAGCTGCAGAAACTCTGACTTTTTCACCTCTGACTGAGAGTGCGATAATAAAAGATGGATGTAACACGGAGCCAAAGGGACTCATTAAAGAGAAACGGAGAGGAAGAAGATGATGATGAGAAAAAGATGCAACGATGAAGACATCACTGAAGACGTCTCTGACCTTCTCTCTCTCTCTCTCTCTCTCTCACTCCTTTTCTTTTTTAATTAATTTCCTCATCGTCCAAGTCTCTCATTTAATCTTCTGCGATGTTTTCTGTCCTTCTAAAAGGTTTCTTCTTTCCATTCTATATTTTACTTTTACATCAAAAGAGAACACAATTAAATTTAAAAAATATGACTTAGGGAGGCAAGTCAATCAAACCAACAAAATAAAAAAAAATAAAAATGTAGGAGGACACTTTAATATATCATGCATGCTGTAAATAAGTTCTTGTGCATCTGAATTACAAAGACATTGATCCCAGGAAACGAACTATCTCCATCTCATCACACTTCAGCTTGGAGCGTTAATCAGACAGAAATGCAGACAAAGAGCTCCTCCTATGTGTGTGAAGTAAGCAGATTAAAGACCATTCTTCAGGTCATTCTTCATTTTTTTTCACCTCTTCATTCCCATGTGGATACACAACAGTCCTGTTGTGTTGAGGCGGTTCAGAGGACGAAGCAGTCGGCAGCTGAGCGAACAAAACAAGTTATTTTAGGAAACGCAAAACAATCATCTGTTTTCTTAAAGAGCAGCACTAATGAGCTGAACTCTCACAGTCTGTGTGTGTGTGTGTGTGTGTGTGTGTGTGTGTGTGTGTGTGTGTGTGTGTGTGTGTGTGTGTGTGTGTGTGTGTGTGTGCATGCGTGCGTGCGCGTGTGTGTATGTAAGCCAACACGTGCATCATTACATGACCGTGTGTGTGTGTGTCGACCTGGATCATGGTTTTATGCATGACTGTGTCGGTTCTTGTGTGTGTGTGTGGGTGGGTATGTGTGTGTGTGTGAACAGTGCTTCTATTTTCACCCCATTAGCAACCTGTTTCCCCTCCAATGACACTCAACAAGTGTCAGGGCAATGTGTGTGTATGTGTGTGTGTGTGTGTGTGTGTGTGTGTGTGTGTGTGTGTGTGTGTGTGTGTGTGTGTGTGTGTGTGTGTGTGTGTGTGTGTGTCAGTGTTAGTGTGTGTGTAAGGACCAATTATTAATGAATAAGATTATGTAATGCTTCGATTCATCCGTGCACATTTTTAGTTTTGTTTCATTCATCATAAGCTTAATTTGGGTCACACGTTTTTATCAATCGTATTATTTATTTAATTGTATTTTAAAATATACATTTCAAAATAAAATTTGAATGAATACGATTTAAAGCAGCACTGTGGAGGTGTTCACCTGAAGAGTATCTGTATTGATCTCACAGCAGAGATTAAAGTGAGACTGTGTCTAGATGAACTTTCTTGCTGTGTGACAGTTCCACCGTAAGTCACACTCAAGTCGCTGAAATCTGTCTGACTGCAGCGCTATGAACCACAAATATACAGAATTGACTGAGATTTAATGGCAATAAATAGTGCATTGTGCAAAAAACAATTTCAAAAAACATTTAGATCAAACAATTTTACATCCAAGGAGTTATTAAAAATGGTTTTCAAGTTCCCACTGAAAACCAAGAGGACCAACTATCTGTCCCCCCCCCCCCCCCCACACACACACACACACACACACACACACACACACACACACACACACACACACACACACACACACACACACACACACACACACACACACACACACACACACACACACACACACACACACAGAGGAATGTTGCGGCCAATGAATGTCCTAAGCTGCACGCTTCATATGCTCAATTAAACCTCTGAGGTACACACACACACACACACACACACATAAAAAATCAAAATCAAACACACTGGTGTTGTTTACTAAACAGAGATGGGGGGAACAATAAGAAGAGAGCAAAGAAAAGGATATTGTGAAGGCGGTGAATAGACAAACACGAACACACACACACACACACAGATTCTGCTGTTAATACACGATGGAGGACAAACGGCCTCCTTAAAGTAGAAACAACCCGAGAACTTTCAACCAACAGAGGCTGCACTGGCATGTGTGTGTGTGTGTGCGTGTGTGTGTACTCACCAGGTACAGTGATGCGTCCTGCTGTCGGGTGGTTCATGTCCTGAATGAGTCCGTTGTGTTTCACCTGTAAACAGACATCAAAGGGAAGTCAGCTGGTTGTTGTTTTTCTATTACCTCACACCAACAGTGATCGTACCACAGGTGTTCTCCCTGTAAACTCAGGTGTCTTAAAGCTTCATTTGAAAAAAACAAACGTGAATGAGCATCACGGTTACACACACACACACACACACACACACACACACACACACACACACACACACACACACACACACACACACACACACACACACACACACACACACACACACACACACACACACACACACACACACACATATATGTATATCCCCTGTGCGTGATCCCCATGGATTAATGAGGTTGTGTTTGAGGTGATCAGTTTCTGTCTGGGTTTCAGTTTGAATCTATGTTCCTAAAGTCAGTTTGGAGACACATGATCATACAAACAAAAAGAGCTAATTGGTTGATCAAACTAAGGCAGTAACAACTAAAAGATCAATCATTAAAAGTGTTGGAAACTAATTTAATTATCAATTTTGTTGCGTCGTGTGACTGTTACGTCACTTACAGTGTCATGTAGCTGTTTATGTGACCTTCTTTTGCCCATTATTCTACCAGTATGTCTTCCTTTTATTCTGTGTTTGTCACATTGTATTCATTCTTGTTTTTGGACTTTTTTGTGCACATTTTACTTTTGACTTAAGTTTCATTTTCTTCCAGTATCGTGCACTTTCAGCTCAAGCTGTGTTTAAATGTGTTTTTTAAATAAACTGTACTTTCACTTAATACAATGAGGGTCATAATTTAGTGACGAAGCTTTAAGTGATGATTTTTTTATGAAATAGTGGTAAACATGATGATAAATGTTTGTCAACGACTAATTTTACCTTGACGAAGACGAGAATTTGACGAGCTTAAAAAAAAAAGATTGATAAAAACTCAGATGACAAGTTTAGTTTCCATTTATTGAGAGATGACGAGACTTGTTAGAGGTGGGCTATTGAAAATCCAAGATATTTCCCCCACTGCACGTTTAACACGTCTTTCAAACTTAGGTTAGTTCCGGTCATAGATCAAACTCTTGTTGGTTGTCGGGTATGAAAGTGTGTAGTTACACCGTACATGTCAGAGTTGGTACTTGAGTCAGAACATGAAGCTGAATTTTGACAGACTGGAAAAAGTGGAGGATGTGTGTATGTGTGTGTGTGAATGGAAAATGAGCCGAGAACATAAACATGTGTCTCGCACACACACACACACGCTCCTCGGTATGTGTGTGTGCGTGTGAGCTTCTACATGTGTTGTTATGTTTGTGTTGGTTTGTTGACTTCTCATGTTTATGAGCCTCAAACTGACAGAAAAATAACTTCATTCTTTTCTCCATCTCTGGTTTCTTTTCCATGTTCGTCCTTGTTTTCTATTTTCTTTTTCCTCTTGTTCCCATCCAGTGTTTCTGATTCTGTCATTCTTATTTTCCATTAACCCCCCCCCCCCCCATCCCTTTTATGTCTCACCTGCATCCTTTCTACTGGATTCTCCTGTTTCTGCATCTTTAAATAATTCATGGTTTTCAAACCTGGGGCCTGTTTTTTAACATATTTGTGGTCTGAATAACTCATATTTTGAAATCTTTGATTGTCTCCAGTAGATGAGTCATGCATCAGTGAACAAGGCTGTAATGTCTGCCACATAATCCTTGATGGATCAAAGTTTGTCCACTAAAAGTTGTTGTTTTTGTCCCTGACAGGCTCAGACTGTTATTCTAAGTGTCTGAAAACATTGCAGAAAGGATCCCTGGAGGGGAGAGATAGACCTTTTTGCAATAGAGGAAGTTGATTTTTTTTTAACTACAAACAGCTGTTCTCTATCGTATCGAGAATATCTCTCCACACAGTTACATATTCCATATGTACGGGGGACTGAGAGATAGTTTCTTCACTCAGAGAACCAAGGTTACAACATAACCAAACATTCTCTTCAAACACACCAGACGACATTGAGAAAAACAGAGATTGTACCTCACATCGCCCATTCGTTTTGTCTTGGTCTTTACAACAGTACAGCCTTTGTACAACTTATCAAGGTTTAAGAGTAGGGCTGACGCGATAGAGGGGAAAAAAATGCAATCAATCGCTGTATTTCAATAGTTGATTTCAGTTAATCACATTTTCCATCACTGTGACTATAGGGAGAGGCTGCGGTGGCTTACGTATGATGCGTAGAATAGGATTGAAGAAATAAAAATAAAAAATGTGTTACTTTATGGACTTAATAGCTAGTTAAGAGGGAACTTAAAGCTGCTAATGAGATGGTAAACCATGACTGTATTTGTGATGAAAGATGACTGCGGTATTTATTTATCAGACTTAAAAAGATAAAAGAGCCTGTAGTAACTTGGTACCAGACTCCATTGATAAAAACAGTAATTTACCCCCAGAACACAGGAGTTGTTGGTCTACCACCCCCCCTTCAACAGTCAATCTAACATTGAAATTATTTATTTATTAAATTGAAACAAAGCAAATTAAACACCAAAGTCATATAACATCTAAGAAGGGATGATCTATTAACTTCTGTGTTTACTGAAAGGCTAAATTACTTTACCCAGATACCGTGTTCAACAGAGTGGACAACCAGAAACATGATGCCTGTGGTCTCGGCTGCAAGGAGGCATCAATTATGATAAAAAATAATATACAACAAAAATAAAATGTAATCTCAGGGGACTGAGATTAATAGATAAAACACACACACACACAGGGGTTAGCTTTAATAAGATACAACCACTGATCGATGGCTTTAATTTAAACATCAAACATGACACACTGGGCAGGAAGTCAACCAGCGCTAAGTGAATTATAGTGTGTGTGTGTGTGTGTGTGTGTGTGTGTGTGTGTGTGTGTGTGTGTGTGTGTGTGTAGTCACTGCATGTACTGGTAGACAGCCTCAGAGTGTATATGTTTAAAACACATGCACTTAAATTACATCAAATATTTTGGGAACATGAAACCTCCAGATCCAAGCCACATTGCACTACGTCCTTGTTATGGAAACCATACAATCGGCAAACCATTTCAAACAAATTATAAATGTTGACCATTTCTTTATTTTTCATTTTCTTGACGAAGCCCAGTTTAATATTCTCACAGAGTCACAGCAGACATTCAGCAGCTGCCGTCTGCAAAGTCCTGTTTCATCTTTCCCCACAACCGCAAATGATCAACACGAAACAAAACAAAACGAGGCCTCCGACATTCATCTTCCTGTGAGATACACAAAACATGTTGATGAAACAGAGACCACCGGCTCAAACTCTCACAATCATGATGGGGAAACAACACTGCACGGACATGACGTCTGTCGACTCCATTTCTTCGCCGTGTAGTTTGGAGAGACGACTTTATAAAATGTTCACTCTTTGGTTTATTCTTCAGCCAGCCTGGAATTTTGGCCATTGCCACTGTGGTTTTCAAGAGCCACAAGTGATCATATATAGACAAGAGGGAGGAGCTGCAGAGGAGGGAGGGGTCAACAAACGCCGAGTTACCAAAGCTCAACAGTCTGTGGTGTGGCTAACTCATTAGCCGCTAATGAGCTGGGTAACATGTTTCCAGAATGAGACTCTGTTAGTGGTGAACGATGGCTGCTGTTATTTATTCATCAGACTAAAGAAGATAAGGGAGCCTGTCGTAACTGCTCAGCTTATTTGTCGTCTGTCGGAAATCTTTGAAGAAAAGTAAAGTTTAGCATTTTCAAATGTTGGTGAAGTATCTGAAGTCTGCTGAATGTTTCCACAAGACACACCTGGTGGCTCCTCCCTTTAATATTCTGACATACTGTGTGTGTGTATGTGTTGTGTGTGTTGTGTGTGGCTGTATCCAGTGTTTCCCCTACCATTATATTGGGGGGGGGGCGGGCCGCTTCAAGTCGTCGCGTCGTTGTGTCGGCATGTCGGCTTGTCCCCACTCCCCCAACGCTGTAAACCTAGGGGAAACACTGGTATCTGTACATGCGTGCTTACAAGTGTAACAGTATGATTGAATGCATGTGTGTGTGTGTAATTCTATCTGCTTGTTATGCAGGGTATCATTATATCCATATGGAAATCTCTCTCTCTCTCTCTCTCTCTCTCACACACACACACACACTCTTTATGTTCGATTTTCCATTTTTTTTAAAACATTAAATTGGCGACAATAGCAAAATTGACAAAAAGTTTGTGTAGAGGCAGCAGGATAGTTAATCCACACACACACACACACACACACACACACACACACAGATTCTGAACAACACGGTTAAATAAACAGAGCTGTGTGTGACGTTTTTTTTTTTTTAAACACAAATAAACACAAATGATCCAACAGTCAGTCTCGGTTGAGTAACAAACTTACACAACTCAACTTTTAGTCCGAGTACAGAATCAGTCTGTTCTGATCTCTGACCGAAGTTGTTTATCCTGTAAGAAAGTTATAGATTTATTCAGTAAACTGTTTGTTTATTTGACACACAAACCTAAGAACTTCCATCTGACAGAAGATTTTGTTCATTTTTTTCATCACTTTTTTTCTCTTTTGCTCTAGACGTGTGTTTGTGTGAGTGCAGTGTGTGTCGAGGGTTAAGATGACTTTTCTTTAAATTTCTCTGCATTATGTTGAGATGCTTCAATGAAGAACATCAAACGTCAGACACACACTCACACACAGGCATGCACACATACCCAGCTCTAGGATCCCTTCCTGCTCTGCTGTGTGTTTGAACACATGGTGTGTGTTTGACTAAAGCTTCACCTGCCAATCCTGTGTTTCTTTCTGAATGGCATGTGTGTCTGTGTGTGTGTGTGTGCCATGTGTACTTTGCCAGCCGCGGTGGAAAATGGCGAGCCTGAAAACCGCAGCGTCTGTGTGCAGTTAGCAGCCTGATCAAAAGACAGACGCACTGATCACAGAACAGTTTGTGGTTTTTCAGCCACGTGCCTCCTCTTCCTCCTCCCTCCTCATTTCCTTTCTTTATTTCTCTTTCATATTTATACTACTCCTCATATCCTATCCTTTTAACTCTGGGTCTGATTCACAAGAGAATTTTGTGGCTTTTGCGTCCCCTAAATCAGTGAAAATGTGTCAAATGGACACAGTCTATTTCACAAAACAAACACAAATGGTTAAATGCTCCCCTTACTGCTCTGCAGAGCAAACAGCATCTCTGTGCGTCGGTGTATTTAAATGGCCTCACAATAAAGTTTAAAGGGTGTCCCCTCCTCTCCGAGCTGACCATCTTCATGCTGACAGAACTGAGCTCCGTCAGCATGAGAGTGCAGCTCCATGTAGAGTAGGTGCACACAACTTCTCTCCACATTCAGACACTAAACAAGAACACACTGCACGTAGCAAGACCACTTTTTGGCGGCTTTCTCTGTAACAAAAGCTCTATCTCTGTAGGGGTCCTTTCTGTAATGTTGTCAGAGACTCAGAACAACAATCTGAGCCTTTCAGGGACTTTTAACATTGCAGCAATCTCAGCCTGTTTCTCTGCTGCTGGATCAACTCATTAGCCAGAGCAAATGGAAAACTTCTTCCAGATCTCTGGTCTAAATGACTTAATTAGTACAAATACTTTCCGGTGATGATTTAAAAGTCTTATTTCAACAATTGAAAGAAAGGAAGAACCAACCCATTGAGAAATTCTTTGATTTTTAATCTTTATTTTTTTTTACCTTGGTGTATACAAGAGTAAATAAAACAGTTTGAATAAAGCCAAAAACTCACACAAAGTTATCTCCAATCAGGTCATGACTCTTTAAACAGCCTTTTGAGTGTGTTGACCTATCAGGAGCTTTGAATTCATTAGAGCATCAAAACAGATTCAGGGCATATATATATTAAACACTCGTCTAACTCCGGTCACCAACTTCTGAATGACTGAGGCCAACTCAGATGATGACTTCTTCACCCTCGTGTTTCTCTCTGCTCTCCTCGCTGTTTTAACGCCTCCTCTTCCTTCCTATCGCTCTTTACTCTTTTTACTCTTCGAGTCTTTGAAGCTAGCAGTGGCAGTCCATTAAGTCGACTAACCAGCACCCATGGGAGTCATCCAGGCCCGCTGTTACATCATGTTACTGCAACATCAAGGAGCGGAGGATAGAGTGTGTGTGCAGCTCGATGTATGTGGAGTTGTGTATATGTGTGAAAGTGTGTGCGTGTGTGTGTGAAGATCTGAGGTTGCCTGAACCTGCTGCTCTCGGTTTGACCTCGACAATCAAAGCAGCGTGTGAATATCGCAGCGTTTTCATTCCTGTGAAGTGTCAGAGCAGGTTTTTCCTTCCATATACGGCCTCATATTAGCACTTAACAGGATTTTTAGATGCGTTACATAAAGCTGAAGCCTGAGTGTTTACGGTCCCAAGTGACGTGGTTTTTCATGATACCAGCTCATGACATGAATAATGCCCTTCATCGTGTTTTAGTTGGAGAAATATTTATTTCTAACTTTGAAGAATAAAGCAGCGATGTGTCACACTGGAGGAGTCATGACTCTCTGTTCAAACGTCTCCTTATAAAGATCAGATAAACACAAATCATACCTTATAAAAAAGTGACATTGCTGTTTCTAAAGTTTTTAAGAACTCTGAAAGTACTGCTACAGCACTAGTAAGATAAAGCTAAATGCTGTTTCTCTAAATATTGCCAACGCAGGGAATTCCTAAAATCAAGTTATTCCCCCACAGGGCAGAGCTTCACGTTGTGTGTCACACTGAGTGGCTCACATCAGGCCGTCTCATCACTTTAAGGATCAACTTCCAGAACTATGAAGTGCTTTCTGAAACTAATGTTTGTGTCAGTGTGTGGACTAAAGGTCCAGCAGAGCTTAGCCTGATCGTTACTTCACACAGAGATGATTTTGCATTTGTCATCATCCATTTATAAAGATGCTCAGATTTTCATCTTTGTAACTTTAACTACATAACATTAGACCTCCTGCAGATTTTCACATCCAATTTGACAATTGATCCCAACAAACCAGAGCTAAAATAAAGTTACTTTAGGAATAAACAATGTCCAAAATGGGCTGAGCCCAGACACCCTTCAGAGGAAACTCATTGGCCACTTGTATCAGCAATCTTATTATTTCGATCACTACCCAACGCTCATGACTGTATGTGAGAGTTGGAACACATCGATGGTAAATCAAAAGCTCGGCTCCCTCTTCGCTCGGCTCCCTCTTCATCACAATGGTCCGGTACAACGTCTGCGATGCTGTCGAAGCTGTGGACGCTGATCCAATCCGCCTGTCAATTTCATGGTCCATCTTAAACTCACCCCAGAACAAGACCCCAAATACTTGAAGTCCTTCACTTGGGGCAAAGACTTCATGTTTAGAGTGACTCTGCCATTTTCTGGCAGAGAATCATGGCCTTGGACCTTGAGGTTCTCATTCTAACCGCTTCGCACTTCGCTGCAAACTGCCCCAATGCCTGCTGGAGATCCCAGTCTGAAGAAGCCAACAAGAACCACATCACCTGCCAAACCTGGAGACATACATTGTTTCAAGTGTTTTCCCAAACTACAAAACAGCATGCACACAACAAAGCAAGGTGAAGCTTAATTTATATAAAATTTATCTCATAACAAAGTTTGATCCCAATTTTCTCATTTAAACAGGTTGAACTGTTCCTGAGAAAAAACTCAACTTGCTCCTGTTGGTAGGCACCATGCATGGTCGATCCCTGCCATGTTCGTGTGTGTGAACAGGTGAATCAGAGGCAACATGGTGCATTAGAAAAGTAGCCATGTATCTTTGAAAGTGAATTTTTGGTCAAACCAGGCTTTAAATTATCCGTCCAAAATAGCATTGGCCCTTCAGTGGAAGGATTAGCTCACTTAGAGCGTGGTCACACTGGCAAGCAGTACCTTGCCTAAACACGCTTCACCCAGTTTGTTTGACCATAGACCATAGACCACTGCTACGTACCGTGCTCATGCACGACACACTTCCTTGGCCACAGCACGCTTCGGAGAGTTGTGCCTCGGCACGGTACAGTTCATGCACAAGCATACGGGTAAGCAACGTTGACAGCCTTTACTATGGAGAAATCCAGAGTTTTCTGGCTGTATCTGACTAAAATGACTCAAATTAAAGACACAAAGTAGCTGCTCGTGCTTACAACATTACCAGTGTGACCACACCCTTAATCATGTTAGGATTCTGCATGGAAAGCATGCCTTGCTTGATCAGGGAAAATGTATGTTTGTATAAATTAATCTTAGAAAGTTAAAAGAAACAAACGTAAATTTTGCTCTGCATTTTTTTAAATTATTGCATCAAGAGGATTTTGAAAGTAGGAACAGAGGGACATGTTTGGTGGTTTTTTTATGTTTGTTTAGGCTGATTGACCCTGAGACCTGGTTGATAACATCAAACTCAGAACTTGATGCAGGGCAGTTTTCCGGCTCTGTGGAGATAGAGCAGAGGTGGGATGAACCCGCTGATGATGCTGATGAGCAGGCTAGCTAATAGAACCTTTATAATGACATGAGTTGTTGCATACAACAGTGTTGGAGCCAAGACGAAGACTTGGAGTGACAGAGTCAAGATGGAGAACCCCTGGGTGATCATGATGACCTTAAAGGCCTTTCTCTTCATGCTGTTCTGGCTCTCACGCTCTCGGCCCCGATCGCCGGGCCCCGGCTGCTTCAGCACACAGAGAGCGTGGACACCGAAGTACAACATGATCACCAGGAAGAACGCAGCTTTGAATATGAACATGTAGGTTGTTCCCATGGGGGAAAGTACAGAGACAGTAATGGAGCAGTCCAGTATGACCAGCAGCCAGGTGACTATGCAGCACGCCAACCTGTAACTGAGAGGTTTGAACCTGTCGGGAGGAAAGAGAATACTTTCTATAAAAGGAACAGATGGTTCTGCTGATAACACAAATGACTGCATTTTAAGTTTTGTAAATTCAAAGCCAGTATTCTAAAAAAGGATACAAAATATTATAAAATCTGGCCCACCTTTGGACCTTACAGATTTAGTCAGTCCTGTCTGATATTTCTTGATTACCTGAGAAAGATGGTGGGATGCACCACAGCCATGTAGCGTTCCAGAGAGATCCATCCCTGAAAGATTGTTGGTGAAACCAACATGAGCTCAAATATTACCACTAACAGATACCCAACAGTCAGATCCATCCTCCGCAGGTTGTTGAGTAAAATATAGACAATAGACAAGATGGAAAAAAGGAGCTGTGCAATGGACAAATTTAGTGCAAAGAACTCTGAGGCCATGGCTCCGTCTCCTCCACCGGCTATCTGCCTCACCACGTAGATGTTTGCGGGCAGACTAATGAAAAAGTTGAAGGAGAACAAGCCACTCAGTCCATGATAGTAATAGCTGTAGTCCATGGAATACGTGGAGTTGTCTTCGGACTGATTCATCTTCACCCAAATTTCTAGAACCTGCAGAAGCAAAAAAACAAATAATGTTTTTTGGATTATTGGTTTAAAAATGCTTCTGAAGAAATGACAGTGAATACTACCAGCCAAAGAAATAAATAGAATTCAACTTTTGGATATGAATTATACTTAGCCATTGGATAGGTTAAGAGCAAAACATTGGGTATGAGTGTTCTAACCCCTCCATATAACGAGTAGAGAAAGTGAATCTGCTTCATATCCACGAGGAGTTATTTTACAGGCTTAAAACTTTTTCCGAGATCAGATCAGCGCAGATAAAAGGTTCCTAAAATAAAACCATCTACATTAAGGTTTTCCTCACCGTAGTCACAAGTGTGTGTTTCCAGACTGGAGTTGCATCTAAACAACATCTATCCCCTCTTTGTTTTGCATTCAAGAGGAACTCCTGTTTGTAATTTGGCCTTTTTGTTTCTCAATTGTTTCACCACAAGCTCATTTTAAACTGGACCCACCTGTTGATTTGCATGGCAGACAGCGAGTATACATCTGGTGTATTCAAAACAAGCTGAATGAAGACATGGATATGGTTTCTGTGAATGGCTGTGGGTTGAGGCTACGACCATATTTGCATCAGGTTTTAATTTCATGAAGTAATCTCTCAGTGGAATTTACAAACAGAACAGCAGCTGGAGCAGGACGAGATTTATCAGAGTTCAGATGACACATAATTGTGCTAATAAAAAAAAACATGGAATCAGTTTTTTAGACAAATGAACTTGTGGCTAAATGTCAAACTCTGGGTCAGGTTGGTTTTATTTTATATAGTAGTTGTACTTTGGGGCAATGGATAAAAATGTACATGTTATAAAGTTTTTCTTAGTGTTCCCCAGTAGTAAAATTAGCATTAGCATTTTTCACTAAACCATCCGCAGCAGTAACAATAATTCTAATTCAGCAAAAATTAAACACAATCCTGGTCTGGTAATGGGATGAAGGTAGAATATCAGAGATGGATTTTTGTAAACTTGGGTAAATAAAACCAATGCTGTTTGATTTGAAACACACCACCAGAAGAAAACTTTAAAGATATCAGTTCTTCTTCTTAAAAAACAAAATACAACTCTAAGTACTGATAAAGAGCATTTTTTGATTAAAATTTGTATTTTTTTTTTGTGGTGAGGTGAATAAAAAACAGTTTGTTTTCAAGATTTTCTGTGTGAGTCAAACTTACCTTCAGCTTGTCTTCAACAGAAGTAGCTCAGTAATGAAGCATCACTTGGCTTTTTGTTCTCGTCACTAATGGACATTCATCTAACATCAGGTGGAAGAGGAGAAGATCTGAGTCAGCCCCCCTGCTTTATTTGCATGGCTGATGCATTATATATAAGTTATATGGGTCAGAGTTTTCATATACGCTTTAAGCTAGAGAAATACATGTATAGTACATATTCTGTCCAATTTCTGAAAATGCCAGCTCACTTTCATGAGGCTATTTCAGTAGCTAGCCAGAGTGACCAGCAGGAGCCTCAACAGTGGAGCCAACAGATTGCTGACCAATTTAAACAAATAGAATAAAATACAAGCTGCAGTTACAGTTACTTATCAAAGAGGTTGCTTTGTCATACATAAACCTTTGTAAAAAATGATTGATGTAATTAATAACTCAATGAAATTCAAACACACGTCAAAAAATGTTTAAAACTGTGCCACTTACCCATCATGTCTGTTGACAAAGATTCCCCGAAGCATCATTTAAAAAATAAATGTTCCTCTTATCCTTAGATGTTTCCTTAAAAATGATCATGATCTGGAGATGTTTTCATCATAGTAGTAATAGAACTTTTTCCAAATCACAACAACGGCAGAAATGCAACAAAGACAGATACTGACGGCTAGTTGTCAAATGAGACCGTCAACATTTAACAAAAGAATACTGATCACAGATATCCAAGTTTCACTTATCTATAACTACCTTATGCCTTCACAGATTCTGGTTCTGCAACAGCACTGTAACAGTGTCAAAGTTCACTCGTCATTACACATTGCATTGCAATGGCTCAATAGGAGCGGCATATGAGCACACTTTAGTAGCTTCACATACACAGAAACTCAAACATGCACACACACACACACACACACACATACACAGTGGTGTTTCACCTCTGATGTTACACATTTAAAGGCTCATTGTGTTGTACATAGCAGGCGAGGCATAACAAGGGCGTAAATATCCGCATTACGCTGTCAATCTGCGATTGATTTAAAGTGATTTCAATTTATAAGACCTTAGTTATTCGTGAATAAAGTATATTATTTCATACATTCATATTGAATCTCCAACCCTATAATAATACATTGTTTTTTATAGCGCTTTTCTAGAAACTCAAATACAAGGGAAAAAAAACCAAAAAAAAAAACCTTAGCAGCACAAACCACACGTGTTTAATACATTAGCAAACAACTCAACAACATAACAGTAAACTGTGTTTGGTCATTTCTTGTGTTTGTTTGTGTGTTTTAAAGAGTGTTTGTTTGTGTTTCCCACAGAGTTCCACTTCTCTTGATGTCCCCGTAGAGGATACAAACACAGAATTTAATAAAAAGAACAGTACATCCGCTGGCTTAGTGGTCAGGACACATAGCAGAAGACCACAATGCCCCTTGTTTGATTCTAGTCAAACTCCCATTCCCCCAGTCGATATTTCTTGTCAGTTACTCTACTGTCACCAAAAATACAAGCCCAAAATAAAACTAGTCGATGAATACATTTACTTCAAAAACACATCAAGAAGATTAACATCGTCCGACAGCCAATCACGGAAGCTCTGTAAGTGTGTAGGTTCCTCGAGCCAAATGCAAATATTGGCATGTTGACATGCTCTTATTGAAAATACTAATAGATTATGTAAAAATGGTATGATGACGCACACACATACACACACAACCACACCCACACACACCCACAATCTGCATCACCAATAAACAATAGCCATTGTTTCTTTCATGATCGGAGGGGGAGATAGATTAAAAGGGCATGCCTGATGTTGCCATGGCGATTTCAGACGCTGACTGTCAGTTTGTGCAAAAAAAAATTCATGACAAAAATGTCCCACAGCAAGGGAATCGGCTCATGCTGTACTGCTCACACTGGGATTGTGTGCAGTTGTACAGCCGATTGAACGGTGGCATTTCCAATATGACAACCACCATCGTTGTGTTTCATAATTTCTCTTCAGAAACCAATGGGTGACATCACTGACACTTTTATACAATCGATGGGACGCACACATACACATAGATTCAATTTAGTGTCACTTCCATAATATACTCTCAGCATACATGGGAGCGAATCAGGCACACTGTGTTTTGGTTAGCGTGAGAGTCTCTGTGTAAGAAGTGGAAACTTTAACAAATGGATCGAGTTTGTTTTGGATCGAAGAGTTGCCCATATGGAGACAAACGGGGAGAAAAGTTGATCAAGTGTGTGTTTGTGTGTGAAACAGCAGCTGCGCTCCAGGTGTGGAGGAGGACAGTAACCTCCTGTCAGCAGGGAGCTGTTCAGGAGCTGCAGACAGTGAGGAAAACAGCCAAGTATGAGATCATTGTTTGTGGAGACATTAATCCCAAACCTTGGAGTTATGAGAGTCTGAGCGACACTGGCAGCATCAACATGGGCGGGTCAGATGAAAACATGACAAAGATAAATGAGCCTCAGATCCCCCCCACCCCCACCCCACACACACACAGTCTGACTCATCTACTTTAACAGCTGCTGATTATTCCCAATGCTTCATACAGTATCAGAGATGTGGTACAGCTGTTAGGTAAAGGTGTAAGAGGAGAGATGGTACAACAGAAAGGGTGATGAAATAAAAATTGGAATACATTCGTGGATGAAATGACGTTGGCCAAAGTGACATGCGACTGAGATACTTTCCAAACGACAGTCCATCGAGGAGAAAAGCATCGTGAGAAATTAAAAGAACCCAAGACAGAAACGTGGCTCAGTGTGCGTGATGTAGAAGATAGATGTGAAAAAATCTCTGAGAACTCATTCAGGTCATGCTACCAATAAGCAGAACACATTAGGCTTGCATGTTGAGAAAATTATGTGATGTGCGATAGCATCGCTCAATATAGCGGTAACAAAATAAATTTCAATAAATAAACTAAAAAAAGAGTGAATATAAGCTGTAGCTTAGTTTATGCTATTATTCAAATTTCATACAATACCTGTGTTTGCAACATTTACCCCCTGAATACAAATAAATCCAAATAAATGGTTTTGTTCCTCCAATTAATTTATTCAAGAAGTCCAGGTCAGGGCCGAATAAAAAATAAATCCAAACTCCTTTTTAGACACTCTGATATGCCTCCAGCCAACAAGTAAAGTGCACACATGCTGAAGGAGAACGCTTTGCTTGACTACATTAAAAGTTTTTTTAAATTTTTTATTAATTGTGATACATTCAGACTTTCGAGATGTGTTTATTGCCAAAGCTCATAGTGCTACAATATTAGTTTTTAAATCTGTATAAATACAATATATGGGTGTGGCACCCCTCCTTTGTTCAAAAATGATCCATTGAAGAAGACCTCTGGACCAAATGTTGTGATTGTGATGAATTAAAACTTTTTGTGGCATTTAAAGAAAGTGTGCAGGGCTATCTTCCTCCTCAAGGCTCACAGGCGCGACAATATTTAAATTACACTTAATTTGGCAGCTCTTGAACATAGCACAATGACTTGGATTGATTTGAATTCCCCCGATGTTACAGGATTTACAAAGACAGTATAGACATCAGAAGAGTCAGAATGAAGCTGCTGGTTTTCCTGTCAGCCATCTCAGCAGCTCATCTCCATCTCATCTCCCTCTTCTACAACGCCCGAATTTCCCCTCTGGAGATCAATAAAGTATTAACCTATCCTATCCTATCCTATCCTATCTCAGCAGCCCACAGTGTAAGGAAACAACAACCAACTGAATCCAGAGGATCCCCAATGAACAACGAACAATGTAACAAGTAAACATGGACTTTAAACTAATAGAAAATGATTGCCACAAAAGCTTGGGTAGGACAGACGTACATCCCACTGTAGTGAGCCACCAGCTTCACTCACGTCTTCCATGTCAGTACTGTCAGATGATGAATAAAATAAAGTTCTTTTTTTAAACTTGCAGTTTAGTATTTTAAACTCTGGTTCTTTAAAGCACTTTAAAACTGACTACAGAGAGAAGTGGAAAATTAATCTTTAATGTGATCTAAAGTCTATACGAAGGCCTCAGGGCTGAACGTAGGCCAGCAGATGTTTGAAGGGAGGGAGGACGAGGTGAAGAGAGGGTGAGAGGTCTTTGATACGAATCCCCGCTTAAAGACGAGCGTGGTGAAGTCCGCAGAGATGGAAGTGATAAATTCATAAAGTCGGCATGAACTCGGCACTGATCCAGGACTTATGGAGGATAAAGCTGCTTTATAAGTGATTTTTACGGAGGCTTTGACATTTCATCACAGACCTGCTGCCTGCCAGAAGACCTTCCAAGTCATCTGTAAAACTCAACGAAGCAGGCTGAGAAAACATGAAGATCTCACAGGAAAATACTGGAGATCAACTTCAGTCACTGCAGGGTCACTAAAAAAAAAAACAACATATAGAAATATCCAATCAAAGACGAAGGCAAGTGTTTAAACACTGAGCTCCAGAAAAACATCTATTTTACATTTCTAACCCAATAAATCAGTGAAAGAGATTAAAAAGAAAACGGACGCAGATAGCTAAAGCTGACGTCAACACAAAGTTTGAGTCCTGAAAGTTCTCAGGTGGTGCAAAGTTGAAATATCTTCGGTTAAACAACAACTGGACAACTGGAAACGAGTCGAAGTTTAAGTTTCTGACCTTGATGCCGAGAAAAGCAGCACGACTCGTCTTCAACCTCCCTAAAAGAGCACATGTCTTGAAGGCCTAGCTCACACTTCGATGATATGAGTTCTAGCTTGGATCATAGAAAACTTATGAAGGTATTGTAAAACTTCATGAACCATAAATGGGAGCGTTCAGCAGAGGATGTTGAATTATGTGACTGTGTTTAAACTCATAAAAGACCACACCACAAACGGCCAACAAGAGACGGATAAAAGGAGAGGATGAGTGTTTCCTCTGGATCGGGCTGAGCTCAAGTGTTCAGGCAGGAATAAAAATGATTTCAAATGATGCTCAGTGAAGAGACAATCATCCAATAGCACATCTGATCTCTCTCACACACACACACACACAATGACATTTTACCACCTCCTTACCAATAACTGATCTGTATGTAATATCGTAAAGCTTATGGAAAAAATGTAAAAAAAAAAAGAATAAAAAAAAAAGAGAAAGACAAACAATGACAAAAAACAGGGTATATGAGGAGAATGAGAGAGTAAACGACTAGGGGAGGATAGGAAGAAATAGAGGATATGAATGGTAAAAGGAGAAAGAGGGAAGAGGAGGAAGGAAAAACGAAGAGGAGGGGTGGCAGAAAGAGGCGGGAAGAGAAAAGAGAAGGAGAGGAGCTGCAGTGATTTTCATGAATGAGAGTGAAGCTGTAAAGGTTTTTTGCGACTGAAAAAGACAGTGTGTTTTCCATATGCAAGCCCCTCTCTCACACACACACGCGCGCACACACACACACACACACACACACACACACACACACACACACACACGCACAAACACAGACACACACACAGACACTTTGGCTCTGTCTCCTGGACTGCAGAAGTTTCCAGAGAGCAGAAAAATCCCTGCTGTGCTCCAGTTGTTTCAACCTGTGCTTGTATATTGAGCCAGTGCAGTTGCGTGTGTGTGTGTGTGTGTGTGTGTGTGTGTGTGTGTGTGTGTGTGTGTGTGTTTGAACACGCTGCTTTGTCCTTTATGAGTCCAAAAGAAACACAGTTCACCTTCAGTTCACTTTTTCCCCCTTGTTGTTGGTGAGGAGGCTGAGGTCAGACAGTCAGAGAAAGGCTGCAAGTTGCTGCAGTTCCTCTAGTGTCCACTAAAGCCGTCTCCTGCAGTGAGTCAGGTCTCATAGGGTCCCATGTTAAAATGTCCAACTTTAGAAATAATCATTTAAACGCTGATAATTATGATCAATAGATTAGCGGGCGTGTGCCGAGCTCTGTTTACATGTTAGTACTAATCAGTAGCTTTCTTTTTCTGTATGCATGCTAACAGCTAACTATGCTAAAGATGAATTTAATATCACCAGCTGTAATGACTAATGTTCAAATGGATTCTGCTTTCTCCTCTGATTCTGACTTAAACATATAAGACCCTTTGTCCACCTGCTGTTGAGGATAAAAGCTCTGAACATGCGTCTCGTCTCTATGACAACAGGCTCTTGACGGCCGCTTTATGACCGACAATGCTCCATTGCTTTTGACTGTTTCATATTGGAGAGCCTTTTCTTCCTTCATTATGAGGATCGAACGGAGGATGCTTGCCCTCCTATACTTTGTCTGGATGATGAGCTTAATAATAATGACGGACCCTCTATCACGGCTCCAATCAGACACAGAGCAAGGACCTGACCGATCTACTACATGATTGGCTGGTTGTAAAGAGCACCGGTGACATCAGCTGTGCCCTTCTGAAAAGTTAAATGATAATGACTAGAGGTGCTCAGGGCGGCTGCATGAGAAAAGGCAGTGTGATCTGAAAAAAGGACACGGGGCGCCATGCATTTTCTCCAGACGACCGCCTGCTGCTGCTAACGCTCTTTGGGGACAATTGAAAAAGACGCTGGCACTAAGAAAAACAAAAACAGATGGACACAGGCCCTTGAGCTACATTAAGACTGTCACCTGATGTCGATTGAGGTTTCAGACACACAAAGTCTCTTTATGGTCTTCACTGCATTTCTTACATATAATAATTCATCAACAGATTTTTGTTGACGCATAAAAAAAGTCAACTTTGATTTGATATTTTGACCATTTTAAGGATAGGACTTAAATGTGTTTTAAGCTCTGGTATAAATACATTGCTCCACATGTACGTCATTGGGATTTCACATTCAAACATCTGAAAACTGCAGCCTGCTCTCCTCTTGTTTGATCTCTTATATCAACACATTTTGGAATTTTAGCTCATAAGCAGCCACACAAACTCATTTCTGCTTCTGAAAAAGTCCAAAAATAACATCTGAAACATAAACCGATGTCCACATATGTTCTCTCCGTCTCCCTCCCTTCTTTTGTTTGGATCTCCGTCCGCTCCTGATTATTTTCCGTCTGTTTATCTCTGGAGTGTCACCGTTTAATTGGACGTCCCCTCCTCCTCCTCCGTCCCCATGGGAAAGTATGCAGACACATTTTGATTTGATTATGGCTCACAAACCAAACTATGCTCAGACACATTCCAGCTTCCACAAACAGACGATGTGAGGAAACTGCATAGCAAGGCCGCAAGGCTGCATGCGGCCACCGTTTGAGGGTTTGATTCCCTCAAACATTTGCCATGATGCTTCGACGTTTCTTTTCCCTCTAGATGTGTCTGACTGACTTCAGGTGGAGGTCTCACTGCCAAATCTATCAATGAACCGATCAAATCCACTTCCTTCACGCTCTTCTTCTCCATACAGCTGACGCACGACACCCTCTGCAGGCGGGAGGAGTCACTGCATCAAAGTGCAACAACACAAAATTGTCTAAATGTCATT